TCTGTTGGATATGGTACTGCCGTAGCATGATGTAGGTTGCAAGGCACTTCTGGAGGTCTCTGGCCCAATTTCCCTGCTCAAAGCAGGGCTCCCTCCCAAACCAGATCATGTTCATGCAATCAGGTTGTGAAAATTTGCAAAGCTGGAGATGCCACAGCCTCTCTGGGCCCCTGTCTTAGTGCTGGACCATCTTCACTGCAACATTACACAAGAATTCTTATAAATTCTTATGAAAATCTCCTTTCTGCTAGCTGTCAAGGCATGTCATCTGTGGCTCTTGGACATTTAATACTGTTGATGTGCATCATACAATGTTTGGAAAGACAACTGTCCTGTGAGTGCAAGTCATCTTGTTTTCTTCACACATGTAGGTTTGAAAGTTCACTTTAAAAGAGTGAAAATCTGCAAGAAGTTTTTCTAGTTCTTCTAAGTTCAAAGCACGTAAATCTGAGACTCTGCTTTGATCCCCCCTGTGATACAGTGTGGGGTACAAAACCCAAATCCAGCTGACATTGTGTCATTGTGTAATGTAGACCCTAAGCAGAGAGCTGTACGGCTGTATTTGTTCCTGTGTGCTCAGACACAGCAAAGCATTTTGGAGAGAGGATGGGTTAGCGAGGCACGTTGCCATGTATAACGTTTTTCAGAAAACTTTTCCGCGGCAAACAGCTCCTCTTTGCAATGCTTGTGCCCCCCCGGTGTAGGTGACGGAGGCTGGAGATGATGCGCAGAGATGGTGCCAGCTGTTCGCTGGCTGGAACAACTCTGGAGAAGGTGCCATGGCTCCATGCGTTCAGGTTTGCGTTTGGCTCTGAGTCAGATGGAATATGTACAAAAATAACACGTAGCAAGAAAGCTGCTGGTGAGCATTTGTCCTGAGGAGGCTGGTGTGCTGTTTGCTGAGATCTGCATCAAGCAAATTCAAGAAATTGCCTCTCTGATTTACTTACAATTATGGTGGGGACATGGCATATGCCAGAGATTGTTCCACTCCATTTCTGAGATCATCAGATTGTGCTGGGCATGCAGGTGTTTTTTTTTTTTTTCTTTAAAAAAAAGTAAGACCAAGAAGATAGAAAGCATATGGATGTCCACATCTAGTCACTGGTGAGCTCTTCCCCATAATTTAGTCCATTATGGAGAAGACCTCTGCCAAGCTTCTTATGAAAAGCCATGCAATCCACTAGGAATGCCAGCCCAAAGCTCTGTGGGTGCCCTGCCTGATACCTGTGGCAGGAGTTCATCATCACTGACTCAATTACATTTTTAATATGCATGTGTATATCTGGCAACTTAAGTACTCACATGCTTTAGATAGATAAAGACTGTGAAACACTCTGCTGCATAAACACACCACAATATTAACTTGGGTCGTTTGGGTCCAGAGTCACTGTATGCAAGCAGGGTGTTCTGCAGTCTCTCCAGTGCAGAAATTACTGTTATTTCTTTAACGGCTGTCACACACTGAAAGCAGTTGTGGGGAAAAGCAGCGCGGGTTGGAAAAGCAAGGGAAGGTAAATAGAATAAACCTCTTCCATCTACTGCAGTACTCCTGCTTTCTCCCTTAGCTCTCTACTTCTCTCCTGTGCGACGGCACCTGGGTTTGTGTTTGCAGCAGGGGCAGGGAGGCTCTGCCCCTCCCCAGCCTCACACCCACTGGGCTTGTAACCCAACAGGGTTTCACCTCCTGCCATAGCTGGTGCGAAGGCTATGATATTGTACTGATGTGCTTCGAAGGGGAAGGAATTCTGTTGTTTTCTGCTATTTGTAAGCACACTACGGAAGGTAACTAAGTGAGAAGGGGTTTGTATTGGCCCCTTAGTGGCCTTACTGGATCTGCAGAAGCTGTTGGCTTGCTTTATATGGATTTCTAGCTGATCACTGTGCCTCTGATAGCGAGAGATAAAATAACACCCCTGCCTTTAAAGCACTTAAGGTGAGTGTTCAGGGCATGCGCTCTTTTGAGCCTGTGGGTGGGTTGGTGGCATAGCTTGGCCCTGCTTCGAGGCTTTGGAGTGTGGTGTTGGGGCTGAGGCTGCCCCCCGCCCTGGTCCAGCCTCTGCCGGGGAGGTGCTGCCTCCCGGCTGCCCGAGGGGCACTTCTGGGGTTCGGGGGTGATGCCTTGGTGCCTGATGGGGAGGGGAAGAGGCGTAAAATGGGAGGTGGAGCGTGCTGGGCAGATTTCGTTGACCTGCAGGTCTGGTCCCCTCCGCTCCCTTGCTGGTGCTGACTTTCTGCACCAGGCATCTGCTGCTGTGCTGCAGAAGCTAAATTTAATATGAAAACAGTTTAATTTTGGCTCACATTGACTGCTTTCATGATAACGTCCGTAACAGTGGCACGGACACAGATCAATACGCCAGTGCTGCTTCATGGTCTGGCGGGGATAGAAGACCGAGGGTCCCGTTAGGCGGGGAGTGGGCCGTGCTGCAGCCTGGTGTGATCAGAGAGGATCTCCCTTTCCCTGGATGGGGAAAATACTTGCATAGAGCTTGGGGGCGAGGAGGAGGCAACTGACACTTCAGTAGAGACAAATCTGATGATTCATTTCCACAGCCCCCAGGAGCTCACGTGTGAGCTGCGTATTGGGAGTTTCTAGGAATTTCAAGGAGCATCATTCGTTTTGAAGGTAGCCCGTTCAATATTGAGGAAGGAGCATAAAATATTGCTGCTAGATGGCATTATAGGAATTGAACAAGCAAGGACTTCTGGAGGTTGTTCGAAGAAGCTGGGGGGAAAAAAAAAAATGCCATCCACAATGTTAAAATCCCAAATGAAAAGCTTTTTGGCTCAGAGTATCTGTGCTCTTAGTATGTCTTTCCTTGTGCCTCAACACCCTGATTTCAATGTTACCTGTAGTTTTCCTGTTTCTTTTCTTGGTTTCTTATGGCCTCTATCGCCCTGTTGTTTCTGCCTGATGTTCAGAATGGTTGCTAATACAAAATCGTCAATGCATTTAATTAACATCTTGCTTTTCTCTTCTTCCAGATAACACTTAATAAAAACAGACCTAGCGCCTTCCCACAGGTGTCTCCCACTTGATCACTACATTGTCTCTGTCTCCTCTTATTGCTGACCCAGTTTTCTTTTCAATTCCGTCAGGAGCTTCCATCAGCTCAGATAGGTTTGGAGCCTGCTTTACGTCTAATGCTGTGCGTATTGCCCAAGGGCTCGTGATGTTGAGGGTGCTGTTGGCAAACGCCACAAAGGGTTTTAGGTGCCTGACGTGGCAGGTGGACTCTTGGAGCCAAAAATTAGATCCTGCCAGCCTTAAAGCCAGGAGCTTTTGGCAGTGCTTTTCCACAGGGCTCATTGCAGATGGTGCCCAAGGCTGAGATGAGTCAGGTTAGAGGGACGGTCCTTGCTCTGGCCCTGTGATGCTGAGCCTTGTTGCACATGTCAGTCTGGGCTGCTGTTTTGGGGGGGGGGTATCACCCGTCCTTCCAGCACCCACAGGGGTGGCAAAGGCTGTTCCATGTTTTCTGAAGGAGAGCATATTGAGTCTTGCTTTATGTCACTTTGATGAACACCTCTCCATAAGCACCAGGATAAACTAATCCCAGATTATCACATCAAATTGCCATTGCTCACTAACCCTCCTCAGCATGATGTTACAGAATTAGTTACCAGTATTCATGATGTTCGTTACTGCAGTCCCTGAACACCCCGCATGGCGCATCATCTAGATCTAGTGATATTTATTGTTGCGTTTTCCAAGTGGTCCCTCTCCTGCTTTTTATCACTAGCTGTGTTTACTAGGCTTCATTATACTCTAGTTGTTTGAATCTCTGTAATTTTTGATACTTTATTCAAAGCCATTTAGACACTTAGACCCATTAATTTTATTTTTCTTTTCCATTCTAATGGACTGGTTTCTTCTGCTGGCATACAAGTGAGAAAAAAGTACCATTCTCTAGACCTTTTGGTCATTAGTAAATAGTAGTCCTAATTCTTCCTGCTCTCTTTTCCTGTTAAGTTTGAAGTTGTCATATATACATCTTGTTTTCTTCCTGCTCTTTTGTCTAAATTAATTCTTATCCTCAAACCAGGCACAACATTTAAATCCCTGCAGCCCTTCAGCATGAGTGTTGTCTGCATCTTAAGATGTTATGCTGGCATTGCTGGTACATGACTTATGTTCCTGCTGCGACTTTGTCTGCACTACAAGCTGAAGAGGTGGGGGGTTTTAGCTATATCTCTTTTTAAACTGACAGATAAATTGGCAAAATAATGGCATGTTATCTTACAAGGCTGGAATAAACCCTTGTAAACTTTCTATTGATGTCATTGTGCCAAAATTAGAACTGTCTTGTAAGTTATACCAGCTGTATGCTGGACAGAAACTGTTTTGAGCAGCAAAGAGACAGCAGAGAAAGTCCTTGCTAGGATAAGAACAACAAGTTTGCCCTTGTATGATTTCTTTGGCATTAAATGGCATTAAATTATTTCACCACTGGTCCTGACAGGTGTTTTATATGTGACAAGCCAAAAGAAATGAGCAAGGAAAAAAAAAAACCAAAAACAAACAAAGAAAAACCAAGGCCCCGGTGTGCTGATGAGTGTCATCTTCAACAGCCAGCTCGCAAGGCTTCCCGTTCAGTGATGAAACCTCATCTTCTGAAGGGGAGGAGAGGCTAAATGGGGAAGAGATTGCACTGAAACAGTCTTTTCTAAGCGTACACACAGCAACTGACTTTTGACTTAAGTATACCTGAAGTGGTAAAAGTCTTGTATGCGTTTTGTGGCAGCAGAGTTGTTTAGAAATTATGTTCAGGGTGACTTTAGGTGCTCATGATGCTTAAATGAACTTGCCAGGATGAAGAGTGCATGTGTGTATGTACCCACGCGTGGCTGATTCCTCATCTATTGCCGCTGTCCGCAAGGGAGAGCAGAAGGTGCACATCATAAGCACCCCAATAAGAAATTGCAGAAGATTAGTGTGTTTTTTTCTCATACATAAGCCCTTCTTGATTAATTTTCTCCTTTTGCGTGTTTTGCAGATAAGTAAGCAGCAGCTCCAGACAATCAAAGATCGTTTCCAGGCCTTTCTCAACGGAGAAACCCAGATTGTGGCAGATGAAGCATTTATAAACGCTGTCCAGAGCTACTATGAGGTAAGGAGAGATGATACAATATTCATATGAATCCCTGTTCTCCTCCCTATTCACAGAGAGAGTCGAATCCTGAACTAATGGGTTCTTTGTCCTTTGTCAACAAAGCACAAAACAAGGGCAAGTGCAAGGCTTCTCCCATCTGATGTCTGATACATCACAGGGTTTGTGAGGTTCAGGGTTTGAACATGCAACCATATGGCAACTGTGGCAACCCCTACACCATGATGTATCCTGTAGCTTGATTATGAGGAGGATCGTACCTCCTTTAAGCTGAAAAATATCTTCCTGATGCTTTTAAACAGTGTTGTCGTTTAACCCCAACTGGCAACTAAACTGCACACAGCTGCTCACTCACTCCCCCCTGGTGGGATGGGGGAGAGAATTGGAAGAGTAAAAGTGGGAAAACTCGTGGGTTGAGATAAAGACAGTTTAATAGGTAAAGCAAGAGCCACGCACGCAAGCAAAACAAACCAAGGAACTCATTCACTGCTTCCCATTGGCAGGCAGGTGTTCAGCCATCTCCAGGAAAGCAGGGCTCCATCATGCGTAACGGTTACTTGGGAGGACAAATGCCATCGGTCCGAACATCCCCCCTTTCCTTCTTCTTCCCCCAGCTTTATGTGCTGAACATGACATCATATGGTGTGGAATATCCCTTTGGTCAGCTGGGGTCAGCTGTCCCAGCTGTGTCCCCTCCCAGCTTCTTGTGCACCCCCAGCCTGCTCGCTGGTGGGGTGGGGTGAGAAGCAGAAAAGGCCTTGACCCTGTGTAAGCACTGCTCAGCAGTAACGAAAACATCCTTGTATTATCAACACTGTTTTCAGCACAAATCCAAAACATAGCCCCATACTAGCTGCTATGAAGAAAATTAAGTCTATCCCAGCCAAAACCGGCACAAACAGTGTACTCTAAAACAAGAAAGCTGGCACGATATAAAATAAATGTCATGTGCTCCCTGTGAAAAATACCAAGAGAAAACTGGGCAGCACGTTCAGTTCTTGCTGAAGCTTTTGCTTGTGTCTAATTGACTTCGGGATTTTCAGCAAGAGCCTTGTCTTTTCTCGTTGGTATGACAAGTGCTGTAAAGCAAAGGGGGAGGAAGGGGGATGTACAAAACTAGATGGTACCAAAGAACATGAAGCATCATTCATAATTGTGCAAAAGAATAATTATGCATGTCTGTCTTTTTGCACCTCTTTGTATGCAGCCCTTAATGCTGCCTTTCATATCTTTTCTCAGAAGGAAAGAGCTTCTGTTTTTGAAGGAAATCGGTGCTTGTGATTTGTATGAGGAGTGTCGCTTATTTTTTTGCTAGCCCTTCTGCAAACCATTTCTCTTTCTCCCTAGAGTTATTCTGTCATAAAGGTGAAGATTTCGCATTGCCTACATAAAATATTTCTCTGGAAGTGGAATCGAAGAGGGGACCAAAATCAGATACTAAAACTGAAGAGAATTTTAACTCTATAAAAAATGGCAGCAGCTGCTTCTGTGTAAGGAAAGCACAAATTGTCTCTGGACTAACTCTATTAAACCAGCCTAGTAGTTACTGCTCCATTGTTCTCTGTACAGGAAGGAAGCTGAGAGTAATTTACATCTCTTACCAGGAAAGAAATTGCCAAGGGATCATGAGTTTATCACAGCTTCACCGAACAGATGCTCTCAGAGAAGGTTTTCAAGATGGCGTGAGCTGCATTTTAGGATGCAAGAGCAGCATAATCTGTTCAGATAAGACTATTGTGCAGGAAAAGGAAACTGCTTAAAAACAGGCGAAATACATCCCTGTTTCACCAGGGGGTCTGGCTGAAAGCAAGTCCTGACCAGCTCCAGAAGTCCTGTGCTGTATAATTACCCCAAGTAATCAAGCTTACAAAGAGCAGTTGATCAGCACGAGGTGTCTGCAAACCCTATGTCTTCAGTTCAACTGGACACTCCACCTGCTCTGTCCTACTTAAAACAGGCCACAAAAAGCATAATACATTGCTCTGTGTCCTTTAGCGCAACGTTCTTTTTCTTCTTCTTAACTGTTGGTCTCCTTTAATTTACGGCTGTGTACTTTCAGCTGCTGTGCAGCTGTAGCATGGCTGCGTGTGTCTTCCTCGGCACCGTCTACAGTGGCACGAGGCAAAGCCTTGCCGCAGAAAGCCTCTGCCCCCTCTCAGTGCCTGAGCACTTCCCTGCTGACAGTCTTCTTCCTCCCTTCTCTGCAGAGAGGTGCCCACCCTTGGTTGAGCCATGGTGCAATCTCAGCAGATCCTGCCTATCTCAGCTCCTGCAAATCTGAGTTTTGTGCAATTAACTGTCCCTTGGATGGACGCTATCTAGAAGTTGGCATTTAGGTACTGACTTATAAAGCTGCATGATGGCTTGGAAAATACTAAAACTTGTTTTTTTGCTAAGCTGAAACTGGCCATCTCTGCAGGATGTGGCTCGTGTTTCTAAGGGGTTCACTTACTATTAGTGCAGATTAGAATCATTACCTGGAGAATGATTTTTTTTTTTTTTCTTTTTTTCCTTCTGGAGAAAGAAAGAATTGAAGGTGACATGGTAAGTCAGGGATGCGTTTGCTCTTGCCGTAGATGTGTTTGCATGGCCACATTCTGCTGTTAAGTCTGCTGTCAAGGAGTAAGTGTGTGATTGCCAGGCTTAGACTAGTTCACAGGCTGCTATCAAATTAAAATATGAGTGAGCTGAGCAGGCTCCACTGCTGTCTGCAAAGCACCGCTGTGCCTGCAGGAACGCTGCAGATCCATGTGTGCGAGGTGGGCCCAGCACACTCCAACAGACGCTCCAGGAGGGCCTCTCTCATGCCCTTTCACTTCTAATGAGTAAAGCTTCATCTGTCAACCAACACTTTATGCAGCAGTCCCTTCAGTGGGTATTATGGGAGTGCTTCATTAGACCCATTTCCACTCTGCTGTGGGCAGATAGAGCCAGGACCATGCGTGACCTGGGGGGCTCATCTACGGACGTGGCAGGAGGTGCCTGACCCAGCTCACAGAGGCCAGTTCTCTTCTGCATGCGCCGGTGTGTGCACCCACGCTAGGATTTTGCTCCAGCAATTCTTGACTCCTGGCAGTCCTACCAGGCAGTCTTACAGCCAGGCGATTCACCTGGTATTTTCTAAAGAAAGCAGCTCGCTCTGCAGGACAAAACACCTCTTTTATCTTTTTTTATCTTCCTATTTCACGGTCTTTTTCTGCTGCTTTGTGTCTGACTGGCGCTCCCCCACACATGCCTCCTTTCTGCCAGCTGCAGCCCTCCTTTCTCTGCTGGCTGCTGCTCTGCACCCAGGGAGGATAAATCGGGGCTGAGGGGAGACAGGGAGTCAAGTCCCCCTGCTCAGTGCCGTCACCCCTCTGACGGGGGTGAGGACCACAGATAACAACGGCCGCTGGTGTTGGTGGGTATGGGAAGTCATTAGCGCTGTCGCACAGGGTCAGGCCAAAGGTGCCTGGAGCGGATGATTAGAGAGAGGACGTGGGAGCCGAGGATGCCACAGCAGGGCTGTTCGCCGTGACCTCACACCGTTTCCAGCAGTCAGTGTGATGGGGACTTCCTCGGCTGTGCCAGCAGCTTGGATTTTGATAGCTCTCGCCTATTACCTAAAAGCACCTGCGCACACCCAGGGTGTTATCACTCATATTTAAGCTCTGCAAGGAGGCAAAATGTGTGCTCGTATCGTTTCAGCATGGACTGAAGAGGCTGCTGGTGGCATCCTGCCTGTCTCGTCTGCCGGGAGTGTTCCCTAGCACAGTGATGTTGGGAGGAAACAGCCCAGCTCTTCCTCAGCAGCATTTCTGGGCTGGTCCTGGAGCAAAACCCACTATTAGTCCCGACAGATGCCTGTGCCATCAAGCATCTGGGAACATGGAGTGCCATGTTGCTGAGTGGTATAAAAAAAAAAATCTACCATGTCCTTAGGTCATCCTCAAGCTCTTTAATTATTGAGAGCTGATAGATACACGCTGGTGCTGGCACGGCTTCTTCCCAGCCTGCTGCATTGATCCGTTCTCAGCATCATTAATAAAACAGCAGTTCTTTCTGGGCATTGATTGCTCTCCTGTGTTCAGCGCTTGGGAGAGGAGAGCCAACACAATATCCCCCTGTCCCTCTCTCACCCTCCAGCTCTGCGTTGCTCCCAGGGCATCTCCTGGTCTGCAGGGGTCTGTTGCTTCTGCTGCTCTTGCAGTGGGAAGAACATCTTCATCAAAAGCCTTCTCCCTCCCTCCTGCTGTCAGTGTCCTGCACCTTGCAGGCTGCTCTCTCTGAAAGCCTTCCCAGGCAGCCTCAAACCGTGCTGAACCATCCTGTGCTTCTTCAGCAGAGCTGGAGCAGGAAGGGATTTGGCCTCATCCACCTGTGGCCATGCCACCTTTTAGTGATCTCAGTTGTCTTGGTGCTTACCCATCAGTTTGCAAAAATCAGGCCATTCATCCTTGTCCTTTCCCAGAGTGTTTTAACGGTGCTCTTGCAGTGCTCGTTGCCCAGGTTGGAAAGACCAGGGTACAGGAGAAGTGGGGACACACATGTTATTTAACTGAAGGTAACATTAAATTAATGAATACAACGCCATTCCTGCCATCTTGTGACAGCAGGGCAGTCTGCAAAGATCTCCTCTGGTGTAGTAGTTTAATGTAAGCCTGGTCCTTGCACTGGTCAGAGGTTTCCCAGGGGCCTGGCTACCGGGATAGATGCAATGCAATGCTGCTGACTTGAGTAGGATGACTGAGCTCTCTCTAACAAGGCGGAATTTGGCTAGGTGAATGTAGTTGTGCAATAACTAACTTATATTTTGCTCTATCAAATGTTTTTAGTAACCCTGCTTTCCCAAAGGGCATTTATGTGTCTGGTGAGGTGACCATGAGATCGCATGAGGTCTTAATTGCATCAAAATGTTACATTTTAGCGGACGCAAAGCAGAACTTCACCTGATTTCATTACGCTCCCCAAACTACAGCCGAAACCTCTGTCCATCTGGCAACATGTGGTTGTTGAGCAAGGTGTTGGAAAGTGTACTGGCAGCCAGTTAGCAGGCTTCCCAGCAGTGAAACCGTGTTTTGTGGTACTTAAGGGGGATTTTTTTTTTTTTAACTGACACCATTTGAAGTCACCCCTTTTTTGCAGGTATTCCTGAAAAGCGACCGTGTTGCTAGGATGGTGCAGAGCGGAGGGTGCTCAGCGAATGACTCCCGGGAGGTCTTCAAGAAGCACATTGAGAAGAGAGTGCGCAGCCTGCCAGAAATTGATGGCCTCAGCAAGGAGACGGTCCTGAGCTCTTGGATGGCAAAGTTTGACGCTATTTACCGTGGGGAAGAGGATCCCCGCAAGCAGCAAGCCAGGATGACGGCAAGCGCTGCCTCGGAGCTCATCCTCAGCAAGGAGCAGCTCTACGAGATGTTCCAGAATATTTTGGGGATCAAGAAATTTGAGCATCAGCTTCTGTACAACGCGTGTCAGGTAAGGTCTTTCTCCTAGGCTGGGTTGGAATGAAAGGGGGTTTCTTGGGGAAGGGCTTTCTGATGGGAAATACTGCTGTTACGAACTGGAAACTTTGGGTCTGACCAGACTGTTTTTGAGAGAATTTCCACCAGGGAAGAATTTTGGTTCATGGTGGGACTTCTGCACTGCCAGTTATGTTCTGTCTGTCCAAGTGGGCTGCCTCCTCTTGCTTGTGCTTGACTGCTTAGGGTTTTCTGCAGATGTTTCAGAAGGTCTTTATATTAGTTTTCCTTCCTGAAATCCCATAGGATTGCTGAGATGAGAAACTTTTATTCCTCCAGCTCAGTGTCTGGATGAGCAGGTCTTTGGTGCCTAAGTGGGCTGTTTTGCTGTGACTTGCTTGCCTTTCCACTGTCACATCACCAGTCTAAATGACAGAAGTACGTTCTTGCAGCCTGCAATAACCTTATTAGCACTTGAAGCTCAGATCCACCCCATATGAGGTGGATCCCATATGCAAACTCGCTTATTGAGGTGGTACGGGTTCTCCTTAAGTAGAGGGAGCCTCTGTGACCCCTGCGTGCCTGTGGTGGAAGGAGAGAGCATCCCAAACCCCTCTGACCTCAGGGTGGCTCTGCTTGCACTATGAGTTCCCAAACAGATGAAAACCTTTCCCATTCCTCTCTTTTTCTCCCCCAGTAAGAGCCAGTTCCCCAGAGGCACGGAGCTGGGGCTCTGCAGTGCTGCTTGCCTTTCCAGCAGCTCTGGCTGAGGGCTGCCGGTGGCTGTCCAGGCTGTCGGTGACCCAGATTACCCAGGTCCCCTGCTATCGGATATAAATATCGCAGGTGGGATAAAGGATGTCAGAGTCACGGGGAGGGCAAGGTAACGCTGTGGAAAGTTTTCGGAGAAGTTGCAGGCCTCAATCTCTTCCCTGTAATTCAGGGGCTCAACTTCTTATTGAAATTAATACATTTGAGACCAATTCTATCTCTCTTCTGTCTAGACACTTCCAATTCTTTTCAAGACGTAGAAAATTGTTTGATCTGTTTTTTCTTCTGTAAAGAGCTTGATTATCTTGCATTTGTTCTTCTTCATCTCAGACTTTAATGGCAGAGTGGGGAGAGGATAACAAATGACCATGAGTAAGGCATCTTCATAGCAAAAAGCAACAGTAAGGACTACATCAGTCCTCATAAATTGTGTTTACAAACCAGATTTTGTGCCTCCATCCTCTGTTGGAGGACTTCTTTAAAATCAAAACCATAATGTTTTCAGTGATGTGTTGACAGCTGAGTCAGTTCTGCAGTGTTTTTTTTAACTTAAACCAACTCAAGCCCTGTGTCTCTCATCCTTTCTTGACCTGTGCTCAGCTAAGGAACTAGAGTGTATTTGTGTGAGTGTGTGTGCGATCCTACCCTCTTGCTTTGTGGTTCCCAGTAATGCAGAAAACAGTATTTAATCATGGCTGCCCTGCTTTGTGGATGATCTCTGCTTATAAGAGCCTTTCTGGCTGACACCATGAACCCAGTGGCTGCTCCCTGCAAATTGCCCTGTTGCATCGAGCAACCTGTTCCCTGCAGTAGGTCCTGGTTTTACTCTGAAAGTGAAAGATTTAATTCTGGGTCTTTTCTAATACTCAGAGGCAGCAAACCTGTAATTTAAGCTTTTAGAGAAAGACATAATTTCTGTTGAAAGCGAGTATTAGCACGGGAGTTACTCTGTTTTTAATATCTGGATAGTGAGGATTAGCTATGCAGAAGGGAAAGCCCTTTATACAAGGCATGACTCAGAAAGCTGCAAAGCCGTCAGTCATTCAGCTGTTTGGTATTTTCCTGGGGTATAGTGCGAGTGGTTACGGTGCCATGGTGTTGGTGTGGTGGGGTGGGAGCCTGCCTCGTGGGGAGTGGAGGTGGGAGCAGGTCTCTGCTGCTCCTTCTCCTTTAGGTGCTGCAGGGAAGGCAGCAGTGAGCACCCAGCGGAACAGCAGGCTTTGCTGTGGGGACCCTTATTTCAGTGGTCATGTTATCTGGGCTATTCCAGGGGGATCTCTGGAGCTCTCCAGGCACCAGCGGCTGCTCTGCACTTCGGTCTTCCTGTGAAGCACCAAAATTGCTGTTGACTGCTACTCCTTCCTGCAGGGTCCCAGCCATTGCTTGCAGCCAGTCTGTTGCAGGGTATAAGTAAAACCTATCAACGTACAAATGTTTTTGTTTGCTTAGCTTGTATGGGGAGTTCCTGGCAAAAGTCGAAGGTGCATGCCACTTGGCTAGCATGTTTTCTGCAGCAGAGCTGCAGGGGAGAGCAGAAAATGATATGCAGTGAGCAGTGATTCGGTAACCTGCTACTTTCCCCCCATGAAAGCTTCGTCCTGATCTCTCATGATGAAGCACTGGCATCAGCCCTGAAACAGGAGATTTTTCCCTTTCCCTCCTAAGCTTTAGTAGCAAATTATTTCCTACTCCAAAAGCTCTTGGTGTTCACACAGGGCAGATTTCAAAGCCACAACAGCAGCTGGGTGGCCGATTGCTCCAGGCTGGAGATGCAAGTCAAGCCCTGGGCACTTGCCCTTCATGGCTTGGAAACTCTCCCGTGCCGTAACCCCCTAGACTGCAATGAGCCGCTCTGCACCGGCGGCATCTCCGACGTGTGAGTTCTGACACCAATTAGAAAGCCAGAGGCACCTACCAACATTACAGCACTAAAACCAGAGACATCTGGAGAGAGAAGAATCACGTGTGCAGCGTTGCAGCAGCCCGCATGGGTGCTGGGTGGGAGGGGACCCGGGGCAGCCGGAGGGGAGGAACAGCTCCCTGCTTTGCATGTACATGGGCGCTGTGGCCGTGGCAGGGCTGGGACATGCTTCTGCAGGACTTCGTTCCAGTTGTTCTCTCTCTCCCCACCACTTTGCATTTTCATAAGTTTTCATTTGCCGCATCTGTCTCTCTGTTTGACAAGCCACCTTCTGGGAACACCTCTGCTCTGCCAGCCTGTCCTGAAATCAGCAGAGAGTCCCCTTCCCGGGTGGGTTTGTAAACACCTCAGCCTGCGCCTGTAGCCGTACTTACAGCACTGAGCACACCCATTGGGCTTGGGGGCACTGGCCCCATAACCCCTAAAAATGGTCGTTTATTTCCATCGTGCTGTTTTGTGTCAGTCCGGATTGCATTTCGGTCAGAGTCTGCCTAAGCAGCGCTCATTTGCCTCCCTGTGAAGACACACTGACTCTGTTCTGACTTTTGTCTCATCAGAGTTAATTGGAAGTACAACTTAAATCTTTTTCTTAGTAATGTGATTGAAGCTTCTGTCGCTTGTTTCATAAGAACAAAATATTTTATATATTCTGTTTGTGAATAAGCTTTAAGTAAAAGGAAAACAGTCTGGCCTTTTCCTGGATGTGCTGAAATTGTAATATTCCCAGAAATACCACGCGGGCTCAAGTTGCGCACGTGTGGGTGATTAATACATTTGCTTTTCTCCCTCGGGCAGTGTACAGGCAGCTCTTGCCGGAGCCCACCGTGGACCCTGGCTCAGCAGCCTGCAGTGGTGCCACAGGCTTTACACCGAGACTGAGCAGAGCTCCCAAACAAATCCGGGAGCAATCATGAGCTTCCCAGTGGTGGTTTGGCACAACATAACCTACACTTATTTTTGACCTGCGCTTGTCTGCCATGCATAGGAGGAATTGGGAAACGGAGCCTTTTCCCTGGCAGGCTGTCTGAATGCCATCACTCTTTCTGGGGCGGCAGTGCGGAGCTGTTAATGCAGTTTATCAGTCAATCACCTGTGCTTAGAAAAGCAAAGCCGGTCAGCTTCTCCCATTGCTCCCGTTGGCTGGGAGCGGGGGGGCCGGCTGGTCGGACGTGCGCTCCCTTGCTTTGGTGTGCGAGGTGAAACTGCCCCACAGGCTGTGCAAGGAGGCAAGGGGGAAGAAGAGTTAGCCTAGTTGTTGTCCTCCTAAAGATGAGAGCCTCAAACACTTGCTTGAACTTCTCCTGTGGTCTGGAAGAAGGTGCTTTTCTCGATGTGGCCTCTGTTACATCATACTCAGTGACTGCACAATGGTTACATCACTGTGTTTTCATTCACTTCTGAAATAATATTTTGTTTGTGCAGAAGGAGGATGATTTCTAAAGGGATTTTTTTTTTTAATACAATATCCCCAGGTGATGAGATAAGTGTATTCTTAATGTGATAGCGGTGATACAGCAGGATCTGAGATAGCAAAAGGGATTGATGTGGTTGGAAAGGCTTTTAGGAAACAAAGATGGGAAGTGGTGTTGTAGCAGAATGGTTGTGGAGATAACGGTGTTGTTAAGCACAACCTCTGACTACAACATTTTAAATAATACACGGAGGCTTAAGTTTTTTGCATAACACATGCTATGTGGCTTGGTGTTTCTGCTCCACTGGAGTTGGCGTGGGAACTGAGCATCTCCGGCTCCAGCAGCGAGTTCCTCTGCTGTGCGAGGCATCATGGAGGGAGAAGGGTGTTTGAATCTGGGGTTTCTGGTCCAGAAGCCATTGGCAAGGCTTGGGTTTAGCTCTGCTGCTTTGTAATTAACCCACAACTCTGGAAGAGTCATCCAGGACCTATTTTCTATAAGTGTTAGGCAGTTCCAAACTTGGGTCTTTGCTGCAGTCGGTGTTTCCTTGGGCATGAGCCCTGTATTTCCCACTGACTTTCATGACGGCTGAATTGCAGCGGCATCTCTTGAAAATCAGGCTGTGGTGTTCTCCCCGTCTTCTTCCTCAGCTGCAGGGCAGTGATTTACTTTTCTATCTCAAGCTGTGTTTGAAAGTCATTTTTAGCTACAGTGAGAAAAGAAGAAGCTGGTACAGTGCTGTTCAGTTAATCCAGCGGCAGTAGCTGGTGTCGAGACCAAATCTATGGTGAGCTGCACACTTCCATCCTCCTGCTTTGGAGGAAGCGCTGGGCTCCCGGGCCGTCCCTGCAGGACTGTCTGAATTCACAGGCTTCACAATCAGACTTTCTCTTCTTTCCTGGGCCTGAAGTG